TTTAAATATAAACTACCGGACATATAGATTACCACAGCCATCTTAAAATTTTTTAAATTATGTTTTGTAACTACTATAGAAGAGCGGACTTTATAAGCCAATTAAATAAAATATGCTAGCTTTATAAAAAGGAACAGAACACTAAAATGACTACAGAAGGGTTATATTCTAACTAAATATTTAGTACTTTTTGAGTACTAATTGAAATAACCCATATAATGAGTGGAGCAAAAACCATATTTCCTTTATTCTTACTCATAGTTGTGCAAAGTTAATGTTAGTAGGAAATTGGTCACATTTTAGAGCCTTCTTAATTTGACAGGTGAATGATAGAATGTATTGCCTACTGGACTGAGGAGGAAGGCTGTATTTAACTTCTAATGAAGATTAAATGATATTAGGTATAGCTTAAAATTCCATTCCAAGGAGTCTTAAAAACCCTAAACTATCTTAATACAGTTGACAGCAGTCATAAAACACAGATATTAATTATGTGTAGCCCTGTCATTCAAAGCTGAAATTTTAATTGTATAATTACTTTCCCACCAGAAAAATATATTTGGAAATGATGTATATAATGTTCTAATCAAAAGAGGATATACTAAAATGAAATATGTGCTGTTATTAATACATTAATGCTAATCTTTTGAAATGATTTTTCTAGCATGAAAATCTGAGAATAGATTGGTTAGAGTGATCTGAAAATATAGTACATTTTATTCTTCGTAATAAATGAGTATAATTGATCAAGTGATATTATAGTACCAAATAATGGAGATGTCCATAATATGGTTTTTGTCACCTTCATTTCAGAGTAAGGATCTGTTATAGAATTTTTATATTTTATTATCATTATTCAGAGAAGCAGTTTCAATTTATTCCATGAATGGTGACTGTATGAGGAATGATTATGTTGTTTTTATTTTTAAAATATAAAGTTTTTGAGGTTCTTGATGTGGCAATTTGGAAAATAATACTTAATAAATGCAGAGGTTTCATAATATAGTCCTTAATGTCAAGACTAGTGGAAATGTGAAGGTCTCTTAGGTGAGAGATTATAATAGGAGATAGAATCATAAAAATAAATATGAATTGTATCATGGCAACTAGAGCCAAAGTAAAAATATTGAAGAGAGACTGTCTTTTTTTCCCAAAAAGATGTAAAGAATCTTTAATAAAAAGTTTGGGGGGG